GCTGGTGGAAAGTTTTCCATCAAAATTAGGTTTTCAGTTCAACAAAAGTGTTCACAAAATGTCTGCTTCCCACAGAAATTTACTTTTTCCCATTAAAAAAAACAAAAAAACAAAAACTGAACTGCTGTAAATGCGGCCACAATGCCCCATGGGATTTGTAGTACAGTTGTCTTATGTCCTCATTCTCCTCTGTGGGCTAGATTTCCCTCCAGACTACATCTCCTATGATACACAATGGTCAGGGATTCCTGCAATACATCTCCCCCCTTTTCTAAAAGCAGGGGGCATGGTGCAGCATGGCAGATTATAGTCCTATCAGAAGAGGATGGGATGTGAGGCACCCAAACAGCATCTTAGAATTGAAATATTTTGGATTTTGGCCAAAATAAAAATAAAAATTTACCATGAAAAATGTAGACAAAAGTGATTTTTTTTTTCATTTTTCTGTGGAAGAAAACCCATTTTCAAGCATTGTTAGTTCACACTGTGTAAATGTTCACAAATTCCTGCCGTAAGCTTTAGAAAGCATAATGTTAAAATAAAATGTGCTTTAACTTTTTAATTTTGCTCACTTCTACAAGATGAGAAATATTACAATGAAATATCTCACATAAATTAATCTGAAGGATATTGAACTAGCAAAACGGCCAGAAATACTTTTAAACTAGTCATGAGTTTTGTAATAATGATTCTTACAGAACACACTATTAAATATATTCTATGAAGTAATTTTAAAAGGGATTCTTTCAGATACTGCTGGCAAACTATCAAAAACTTACCATTTTGCAAATGATACAAAAAGGAGACAGAACAACTCAATCAGTTTACACAAAAAGGGCCTACTGATATGGATCAACTATATTAAAATCATACTTGGTAATAAAACAGAAAATGTGGAACCAGAAATTAATGAACCAAAATTGTTGTGTCAGATATAAGGCCTAGTTTGTGAACAAAATAATGAGGGTGGGCTTTTCCAACCACCCTTCCCTGTGAGGGTCCTTAAAAAACAAATACACACTTTTTTTTGTGAGGGGTGGGGAACAGGGAAGAACAGACGAAGACAACTGGAACGTCACCATCATGGCTGCCATCCCTATTACCTCCTGGAACCCCAGACCTTCTTCATTCTAATCCTGAGGGATGTCCTGACCAAACTGGGCCAGAAAAGGATCCAGATGACATTACCCCACACACACACCCGATCAGCTCCAGCTAAATCCCAGACATCACCTGAGATTAAACAAGATTGGATTTTTACAGCAGCAGCAACAGCTCCAGCTCATTTCAACTAACCTCTTCTCTTCTAACCAAAAAAACCCCAACAGCTACTACCAACTTTGATACCATCTAAGAGACTGTCAAACCGGGGGGAGAGCGGTCCCTGCTATAGGGAGAGGGAACAAGAAATGTTGTTAAAACAAAAGCTTTACTTAATACTTTACATTTCAAATGCTTTAACAGTTTTTCCTTCTTCTCTGTATCTTTAATAAAAGGTTAAAAATATTTTTAATGGTGCGTTTGCCATGGTACTAAGCAGCTAAGGTCCCTGTATACCAATCCCTGGACCTTGTTTAACACTACTTAATGCTAGACAGTGACTGGGTTATGTTAATACCTTCGACCCATTCCGTAGAATCATAGAAGATTAGAGTTGGAAGAGACCTCAGGAGGTCATCTAATCCAACCCTCTGCTCAAAGCAGGACCAACCCCAACTAAATCATCCCAGCCAGGGCTTTGTCAAGCCTGACCTTAAAAACTTCTAAGGATGGAGATTCCACCACCTCCCTAGGTAACCCATTCCAGTGCTTCACCTAGTGAAATAGTTTTTCCTAATATCCAACCTAGACCTCCCACACTGCAACTTGAGACCACTTCTCCTTGTTCTGTCATCTGACACCACTGAGAACAGTCTAGCTCCATCCTCTTTGGAACCTCCCTTCAGGTAGTTGAAGGCTGCTATCAAATCCCCCCTCACTCTTCTCTTCTGCAGACTAAATAACCCCAGTTCCCTCAGCCTCTCCTCATAAGTCATGTGCACCAGCCTCCTAATCATTTTTGTTGCCCTCCGCTGGACTCTTTCCAATTTGTCCACATCCTTTCTGTAGCGGGGCCCCAAAACTGGACACAATACTCCAGATGTGGCCTCAGCACTGCCGAATAGAGGGGAATAATCACTTCCCAAGATCTGCTAGCAATGATCCTACCTATACAGCCCAATATGCTGTTAGCCTTCTTGGCAACAAGGGCACACTGTTGACTCATATCCAGCTTCTCATCCACTGTAATCCCCAGGTTCTTTTCTGCAGAATTGCCACTTAGCCAGTCAGTCCCCAGCCTGTAGCAGTGCCTGGGATTCTTCCATCCTAAATGCAGGACTCTGCACTTGTCCTTGTTGAACCTCATCAAATTTCTTTTGGCCCAATCATCCAATTTGTCTAGGTCACTCTGGACCCTATCCCTACCTTCCAGAGTGTCTACCTCTCCCCTCAGCTTAGTGTCATCAGCAAATTTGCTGAGGGTGCAATCCATCCCATCATCCAGATCATTAATGAAGATGTTGAACAAAACCAGCCCCAGGACCAATCCCTGGGACACTCTGCTTGATACTGGCTGCCAACTAGACATTGAGCTGTTGATCACTACCCATTGAGCCCAACAATCTAGCCAGCTTTCTATCCACCTTATAGTCCATTCATCTAATCCATACTTTTTTAAGACCGTATCAAAAGCTTTGCTAAAGTTATGATATATCACATCCACCGCTTTCCCCATATCCACAGAGCCAGTTATCTCATCATAGAAGGCAATCAGGTTGGTCAGGCATGACTTGCCCTTGGTAAATCCATGTTGACTGTTCCTGATCACCTTCCTCTCCTCCAAGGGCTTCAGAATGAATTCCTTGAGGACCTTAAATTTATTTCATTTAAATTAATACATCAGTCCTCCTTGGACTGTTGTAAAAGAGAAGTATTTGTGTACTAAAATAAACACTGCCACTGACAGGATTATGAAGGATCAAGCTTTCGGACACAAATTATGTGCATTCATCTGTTTGTACACATACCCCCCCACACACACTTTCATATACAAATAGCTATTTGCACACGCAAACGTGTAACTTGCAGGCACAATTTTGGAGATCAAGTTGGAAATTTGGCCTTATGTGTACAGCTCAATGCTATCTAGAGAAGTTCTACAGCACAGAAATGTACATAATCAATATCCTTTAGAAGCAAAGCCTTGTTCAGTTCAAGGGTCTTAATGCAAATTCCACAGAAGAACGACAGCTAATGAAAAATGTATTTTTCTTCCTATGTGTTAGCAAGCTCATTCATTGCAGAAAAATACGTATTTGAATGAAGATTTCCTTGATTTCCTAAAGATTCTCACAAATTTCCAATATCACACTTTGCACCCAATGGAAAATAGAAGATAGATGATATAGAAAGGTATGTTTATGAATATCTGGTCATTATTTGTGAAATACAGTCTGGTATCATCCACTTGCAACACTAAATAGTTGTTTTACTTAGAACCTCTTTACCACAAACAATTTTGCTGATTTCTTTTTTAAAAATATATTTTAAAAACTTGTTGAGAATATTTTAAAATAAAGTACATCTCTAATAAACCCCTACATGGTCTGACAAACACTAAGCCACATCTCTACCCAGCAAATACTGAACATAAAAGTATCAACAAAGAATCAAAACTATTGTATTTTCAATGTATAATTTAATTTTATGCAATCCTTAAAAAAGTTACATTAAACCAAAATATTTTCAGTTAAATGTATGTACCCATTCAAGAGACTCAAGAAATGTATTCTTAGCAGATATAGTCACACACATTAATAGAAAGTCAGTAGAAAAACGTTATCTACCTCATTTCACAAATCAAACTGTCTATACTATGGAACCACATACCTTGCAATTCCAATAAATATGAACCACGGTGTTATAGTGTTTGTAATTAATAATAAAAACCATCATCTCAACCTCTTATTTAAAAAAGGAGGTCACAGAATAATGTTTCAGAGAAACAGCATCATCGTACAAGTAATTCTAGGCAAAATTAGAGGGGTAGGAATGTTCAGTGTTCAATCAATGACACAACTTGATTTGCTAAATACTCCCATAATATTTTGTCTTTTTTTTTTTTGGTCTTACTAAAAATAATAGTTAATGCAGGATCATATTTGTACACAATGTGCATGCATAAATTACAGTATTTCATTCTACCTTTCACCCCTACTCCTCCAATCTTGAGAAAGAGTCAACTGTTTTCTTCTTTTAAGTCACAGTAATTCAGTAAGGTAGCACCCGAAAAGTGTTATGAAATCCATCAAAATGCTTAAACTGAAGGCAGGTAGAGTGTCCAGAGTTACACTGATATGGTTAACATGCACAGAGTACATTTTTAATTCTAATGATGACCAATTTTAGTAACAAAGCAAATGTAGAAGTTTCTGCTTCAGTAAATATATAAATAGGCTTGGACAGATTAGATTTTTATTGGTAAATATCAGGAAACATCGATTTCCCATACAAACACAAACCTATGAAAAATATTTCCATCGATGAAAATCAAAATGTATAGATAGGCAAAGTAAGTAAAATGCTGCTTGAGAATTTAGAGACTGATTAAGAATATTTACTTTGTATATTTTTCCATGTGATGTTGACAATTTGTGATGTAATGGTTATAAAGTTTTAACTTTAACTCAACATCTACTGTCATTAAATAATTATTGTCTGATTCCCCATAATTTCCTGCAACGATGAAAATTTAAACAGATATGAATAAAAATGCTTAAAACCCACAATTCTGCACAACTGTGAAAATTTAGATCAATCAAAATTTTAAGAAAAAATCTTAAAAATAAACATTGATATTATCTGGTGAAATTATTAACAAAAATAAACATTGATTTCTGCCAAGCCTACATATATTTTCAGCCTACTGTAGTAAGCATGTCTTGAATTAACTTGCCTACCTTTAAAAGCTGAGGTTTTATAGTTATGCTGTATAGCAGCAATCACATCCTTCCAAAAGTTGTATTTTGTCTGTCTGTCATGCTGTAAGAGTAATAAATAAATAAATAAACAAACAAACACACGCACACACACACACCCGGAGCATGTCAGGTATCAATTTTTACATGCGCAAATAAAGTGAACGTCATTAATAAATAACAATGATTATTTGAAAGCAAAGTGTTACAGCCTGGGACTCAAGAGATCAAGGTTCAGCAGCTGGCTCTGCTACAGACTGTGTGCCATCTTAGACAAGTCACTCAGGTCCAGATTTTTAAAGGTATTTTAGGCATTGCTCAGCACTGCCACACCTTTCTGACTTAGGTGTGGTCTGTACTACAGACCTATAATCGGTAACACTACATCGCTCGGGGGGGTGAAAAATCCACACACCTCAGCAACATAGTTACACTGACCTAACACCCCGATGTAGACAGCTCTATGTCAGTGGGAGCTGACACAGCTACCCCCTCTTGGGAAGGTGGATTAAGTAGCCAACAGGAGAGCTCTCTCCCATCGGTTTACAGCATTTTCATTAAAGTGCTATATCAGTGCAGCTGCACCTATTCAGCATTTTAAGTGTAGGCTTGCCTTCACGAGCCTGAGTCATATTTTCAAACATGACTTAGGCACTTAGGAGTCAGTGAAAGTCAATGAAATTTAGGTTCCTAGGTCTGTTAAGCATTGCAACGCTGAGCAGTGCAATGGCTAAATACCTTTAAAAATCTGGGCCTTAATCTCTCAAGGCATCTGTTCCCAGTCTGTCACCAGAAGATGCTTCCCTTCCTCACAAGGATACTGGGAGGAAAAAAAAATTAAATGTTTGGCTTTGTCTACACTAGCACTTATCTTGGTAAAATTTTTGTCAGTCAGGGGTGTGAAAAAAAACACCCCCGACTGACAGAAGTTTCACTGACAGAAGCACCAGTGTGGGCAGCACTATGTTGGTGGGAGATGCTCTCCTGCCAACACAGCTTCCACTGCTCATTGGGGATGGTTTAATAATGCCAACAGGAGAGCTCTCTCCCACCAGCATAGAGTGGTTACACAGGAGACTTTACAGCGGAGCAGCTGCAGCAGTACAGCTGTGCCACTGTAAGGTCAGTAGTGTAGACACAGCCTTTGTGCAGCGCTCAGAAACATTATGGTGAAGAGGGCCATATAAGTACTTAGAACAACAACCGCGGATAATATATTGGATTACTGATATATGAAATTCAGTTCCTGAGGATGTAGATTTTGTTTTTAAACTGGTAGGTTGATATTATTTACCTATATAGTCATTTTTATGGCATTTTTAACGTATTTATGGTGCCCACATTCTGCCCTTAAAACTGGCAAAAACAACTACTAGGACTTAGTGATCTTGCCAATAACTCCTCCCCAATGCCAGATAAAAGCCAAAAGCCGGGCTTAGCAGAAATGCTTTACATCACACTTGGAAGCCTGTTAAACCTGGCTCTGGCAAAAAGACCGAGGAAAGCATTTCTACAGACAGGAACCTTCTATAAAAAACACACATTCTCATCATTCCTAGAAGGATCTATCTAGGAACTGACAGCAGAAGTGTCTCTGCTGATCTCAATTGCCATGTTAGGGTATATGGAGAGAAGCAATTTCCCAAATACCTGAATCCCAGAACAGATTGTAATTAGTCCCTTGAAATACACCCAAAAATCAAACAAGCAATCAGTACACACCACAGAGTAAAGGTGTTCCCATGCTCATAATGACCAGTCACAGAAGGTAAACGGCAGTAGTATGCATGCAATATAGTCTGAAATAGTTTTATTTCTTTAAGCTAGCCAATAAAGCTTAATCTTTGATATGTAATGTTGCTGTATTATAAAAATGAATTGTTGTAGCAGTGTTGGAACCTCTCAATACGCTTGTTAGCACGGCTTTTGGTGTAATGGTTAACATGATTTCATGGGTTTCAGAGTAACAGCCGTGTTAGTCTGTATTCGCAAAAAGAAAAGGAGTACTTGTGGCACCTTAGAGACTAACCAATTTATTTGAGCATGAGCTTTCGTGAGCTACAGCTCACTTCATCGGATGCATACCGTGGAAACTGCAGCAGACTTTATATACACACAGAGAATATGAAACAATACCTCCTCCCACCCCACTGTCCTGCTGGTAATAGCTTATCTAAAGTGATCATCAGGTTGGGCCATTTCCAAAACCTGGATTTGTGCTGGAAATGGCCCAACCTGATGATCATTTTAGATAAGCTATTACCAGCAGGACAGTGGGGTGGGAGGAGGTATTGTTTCATATTCTCTGTGTGTATATAAAGTCTGCTGCAGTTTCCACGGTATGCATCCGATGAAGTGAGCTGTAGCTCACAAAAGCTCATGCTCAAATAAATTGGTTAGTCTCTAAGGTGCCACAAGTACTCCTTTTCTTTTTATGATTTCATGGGACTGCCTTTGAGATCTTTACCCCCCCCCCCAAATTTGTATTCAGATAGGAATAAAGACCCATTCATTAATGCTACAGGGCTGTATAGAGCTACAAAAATCAATACTGTGGCTAATACTAACTTAATGTCTACTACTCCAAATACGGATTTGCATAAGGGCCCTATATACGGTCTGCTTCTGGGTCTTGGGGGATGAAGGATTTTTTATTTTATTTCTTTTTTTTTTTGCTTTGATAGCTATGAGGGTATCCTTCATGCATCACTTCCAAGTCGTATACCAGCAGCTGAGCAGTGCTGCTGTAGAGTGTTCATTATCGTACATTGGCTTTGTATTCCAGAGATTGGAAAGTTTCAGCGCCGTCGTTTTTGAACTTGAATTTTATTGACTTTTTCAGCAAGTTGACCCAATAATGATATAGAATATGAAAACATGATCCAGTAGCCACGTAACATAATTTCAAATTCTAAATAATCACCACCAATTCAATTATACATAGCAGGTTCCCTGGAAGACAGTGAACAGATACAGTGAGAGGAAGAATGATCCAAAAGTTAGGGCACTAGACTGGGACTTGCAAAATCTGGGTTCAATTACCTGGTCTGCCACAGCTTGCCTGTGTGACCTAGGGCAAGTCATTTATTCTCTGGTTTCAGAGTAATAGCCGTGTTAGTCTGTATTCGCAAAAAGAAAAGGAGTACTTGTGGCACCTTAGAGACTAACCAATTTATTTGAGCATGAGCTTTCGTGAGCTACAGCTCACTTCATCGGATGCATACTGTGGAAACTGCAAAAGACATTATATAAACAGAGACCATGAAACAATACCTCCTCCCACCCCACTCTCCTGCTGGTAATAGCTTATCTAAAGTGATCATCAAGTTGGGCCATTTCCAGCACAAATCCAGGTTTTCTCACCCTCCGTCCCCCCACTCACAAACTCACTCTCCTGCTGGTAATAGGTCACGCAATCACAGACATGAAGGTCACTATCTTACAACAAAAAAACTTCAAATCCAGACTCCAGTGAAAAGCTGCTGAATTGGAATTCATTTGCAAATTGGATACCATTAATTTATGCTTAAATAGAGACTGGGAGTGGCTAAGTCATTATGCAAGGTAGCCTATTTCCCCTTGTTTTTTTCTCCCCCCCCCGACGTTCTGGTTAAACTTGGATTTATGCTGGAAATGGCCCACCTTGATTATCATGCACACTGTAGGGAGAGTGGTCACTTTGGATGAGCTATTACCAGCAGGAGAGTGAGTTTGTGTGTGTATGGGGGTGGGGGGGGGGGGGGTGAGAAAACCTGGATTTATGCTGGAAATGGCCCACCTTGATTATCATGCACACTGTAGGGAGAGTGGTCACCTTGGATAAGCTATCACCAGCAGGAGAGCGAGTTTGTGTGTGTGATTTTTGGAGGGGGGTGAGAAAACCTGGATTTGTGCTGGAAATGGCCCACCTTGATTATCATACACATTTTAAAGAGAGTGGTCACTTTGGATGGGCTATTACCAGCAGGAGAGTGAGTTTGTGTGTGGGGGGACGGAGGGTGAGAAAACCTGGATTTGTGCTGGAAATGGCCCAACTTGATGATCACTTTAGATAAGCTATTACCAGCAGGAGAGTGGGGTGGGAGGAGGTATTGTTTCATGGTCTCTGTGTATATAATGTCTTCTGCAGTTTCCACAGTATGCATCCGATGAAGTGAGCTGTAGCTCACGAAAGCTCATGCTCAAATAAATTGGTTAGTCTCTAAGGTGCCACAAGTACTCCTTTTCATTTATTCTCTGTGCTTCAGTACTTCCCTACTTAACACGGATGTTGTGAGGCTAAATACATCAAAGATTGTAAGGCACTCAGATACTATGATAGACAGTCTGATAATAAGTACTCTTCCTTTAAACAGAGCTAAAGCTTAGAAGAGATTAAGTATTGCAGTGTCATTAACCAGCACAGAGACTTAAACTATAGCAATAGAGGGATACCACAGTACTCTACTGTTGAAAGGATCTGTCCTTTATTAAAACAAAAAAAATCTATAAGTTTCAACCTCCATGCGCTCATCAATGAAAATGAAATCTGAGAGCATTACCTTCCCAAAGAATTTAAGATATACTGTCTTATACTCGTTTGAGCAAAAAAGCTCTAGATATTCATGTGACTGCAGTACAGATATTGGCATATAAAATTTAACCAGTGGTTATGTTTAGCACCTGAAAACTTCAAAAAGGATTCCACCTCTAGAAGTGTATTCCTAGTTATACACATATCTGTAGCATGTAGAGTGAATGTGTATTGAAAGTTTTCGATTTGAAGATTTAACCTTCTGAACTCACTTAACTTTCTACCTGCATTAACAAGTCACTTGTAAGAGTTACACTATATCATATTTCAATTTCCAATTAGTTTTTAAGAATACCATTCTAAGACTAAGGCAGACAAGCACTTAACTATTCTTATGCTAGCTATTTGTGCCCTCTGGTGGAGACAGTGTATATTGTGACCACACCATTTATCCTGACAGGTTTCAGAGTATCAGCCGTGTTAGTCTGTATTTGCAAAAAGAAAAGGAGTACTTGTGGCACCTTAGAGACTAACCAATTTATTTGAGCATAAGCTTTCGTGAGCTACAGCATCCGATGAAGTGAGCTGTAGCTCACGAAAGCTTATGCTCAAATAAATTGGTTAGTCTCTAAGGTGCCACAAGTACTCCTTTTCTTTTTACCATTTATCCTGATTGTTTTAGTAGAAGACCTATATATATACACTGTAGAATTGGAATGCAAAGCTCCAACCCAATTTATATTTCACTTTTTAGGATAAGTGTCAAGACAATTAATTACTCCATATGGTACTTTGTGTGCTTAGGGAGGAGAGAGAGAGATGAGCAGAGAAAGGAAAAGAATAAAACAAGTTGCAATATTTTTTTCTTCTATTAATTGAGCTTGAAATTATGTAGCTCTTACCTTATCTAAACAATCCACAATCCTTGCACAAAGAAGGGCTCCTGGCAGGTCAAAATAATTATCATAGTAATAATATTTAGCTGCAAAGGAAAGAAAAAGAAAAGTTGTTTTAAACTATGGTGTATATTTTAATTGGGAAAAAAGTGTGTGTTTAAATGGTTAATTTTAAAGTTCCCACTGTGTTTTTACTGGGATTAGATATTGAACATTGGCAAATCTACTATCATGTTACATATTTTGTGCGACTCTTTTTCTTTTTCTGGCCATAATTCTATTGGTAATAGAAAATTGCTACTCAGTAGTAAATTACTGACATTTTAAAAATAAACATTAAGCCTCTGGATGAGATCCTCACCAGCTCAGGCAGAAAGGGCCAGAGTCTTGTAACGGGGCTCAAAAAATATTGATGAGACCTGCTGGGGGAAGATTCCCACAGTGCAGAACTGAGGAAGACAGTGACAAGGCTGCCTTTTGTGAACATCCTCACAAGTCCTGGTGTAGGGACACGTTAGGGGCAAGACTATGGGCTACAGAGCTTTGGATATTTTAGGCAGCACTGTGACCTATAGGCCAGCCTGCTGTAACTCAGACAGGCATCTGGGTCTAAGTATACTGGGGGCCTCTCCAGCCCCCAGAGCAGCCCAGAATATGCAAGGTGTAAATGTGGCTTGTAGATAGCAAAATCCCATTTTTGGGGCTGAGAGTTCCATGCTGTGCCTTGTAGAGGAGCTGGTCTCTACTCCTACAGACATATAAGACATAACCACCCATGTTGGGTAGTTATCTGTATACTTCAATGGAAGTACCCAAGAGTAAAGCTATGGATAAGATAATGACCTTCATCCTGCAAACCTTATATTTTATTGACTTAAGCATTTTTAAATCCTTATATATTTTGTGTGAAATCAGTGCTCCCAAAAGAGGCCAAGTTTATTTTGTTTTAGTTAATAAAAAATTTAGCCTACCATCAAACCTCTGTGTACGTTATAGACAACTGTAAAGGCCGAAGTCCCTTATTTATCCACTGAATAGATAAGGGTAGAGATGCAAGTTTCCCTCCTGAAATGGAAAAAATGCATCCTCCAACAGAGGAGAGAGTAGTTCAGTCTCCAGGTCCATTCAGTCCTTCACATTTATTCATTTTTGGCTGTCAATGATAGAGAGTCCAGAGTAGCGAGTCAGCAATAAGCAAAACTTGTAATGATCTGCAGACTGTTTGCCTTAAATAATCAAGATGGTGGTCTCAGTGTATTTCTCCAGTAGGGTGACCAGATAGCAAGTGTGAAAAATCGGGATGGGGGGGTGGGGTGGAACAGGTGCCTATATAAGAAAAAGCCCCAAAAATCGGGACTGTCACTATAAAATCGGGACATCTGGTCACCCTATTCTCCAAGGAATACCTACCCATCCCAAAGGAAAGCTTTACAACCAAAACTAGACTAAGACCACCAACTTGTTTTACATGCAGCAAACAGCAGTCAATCTTAACAACTTCTGTTCATTGCTGATGTGGACTCAGTATGAACCTGAGAATTAAAGGTGAAAAACTACATATCTTTTTAGCAATCCCCAAGACACCCAGTCCCATACATTTTGCTAATTTAAAAACATTTTAAGTGTTTAAAGGAAAAACTACATAACAGCAGCAAGTATTGCAGTACCCAAAATAGTTTCTAAGTTCATGAAGTCTAAGGTAAACAAATTATTTATATTTACCTGAGCGGGAAACCATTCCACTGAATGTTTTAAAGTGTTTCCATTCCCTCCTGCCATAAATTTCCAAGATCTCTTCAGGAGTCATACTCTTCGTACCGTGGCTTGCCCTAATTGATGCATAGTGTGAAAAAGGTTAAAAATATTTAAAATCATTCAAATTTTCTACAGTGCACATAAGTGTGTAATAAATAATCAAATACTGAGCTAGGCCATGTGATTGCTCCGTCTCCCATTTCCTGGCCACTCAGTAATCCGTTCTTGGGGAAAAGGGAGAGGTCTCTCTCAAATATCAGTCTTGATTCTCTCATAACCCAGAAGATACAGAATTTCTCTGATAAACCAATAGTGCCTTGCTGAAAATAAGATCACCAAATCTACTCTTTCATCTAAGGACATTTTCTTTAATGATACAAATGGGATTTTCCTCTGGTCTGACTAAAAGGAATAAGATCTGGGAAAATTTGTATTTTTCTGCCATTAACATCAGTATCTTTTGCAGCAAGTAGTATGCCCCTCCAAACTGAGATCATAACCACTAGTCTTTCCCTTGTAAGGAAAAAGCGCACTGAGCACTCCCGTAGGCCCTTGGTCAAAAGGACCATCTTTTATATTAATTTCAAACATATATGGATATCTTCTATAATAGATCCAGTCACATTATTTTCAGGAGTGCAAAGAATCCATGTTTTGTGCCCAATTAACATATCTGGGGGAAAATATGTAATTTCTTCCTTCTGCAGCATGTCAGCATTTTTTTCTGGACAGTATTGTGTGATTAGCCATTGTGGACTCTAATCCATGATGAGCTAAGCACAGAAAGGTCCCTATATCCACGTAGAGTTCATTATAGGAGCACTGCTTCTTTTACAGTCAGCTTCTGATCCTCATCAGTTGTACGTAAAAGGTTTGTCCTGATTAGTTAGCTTATGAAAAACCTCATTTTTTCCCCATGAGAGGCTAAGGTACATTCAGAAAAATCACTTCTCTTTGTTGTGATCTCAAACACGCCACTGTCTTTCCTAGCATCTCCTCCCATAGTGCCAGAAGAGTCATGCTCCCATATAACTAGGGCCCTAACAAATTCACGGTCCATTTTGGTCAATTTCATGGTCATAGGATTTTAAAAATCATAAATTCCATGATTTCACATATTTAAATCTGAAATTTCAAGGTGTTGTAACTGTAGCGGTCCTGACCCAAAAGGGGCGTGGAGGATTGCAAGGTTATTGTAGGAGGGTTGTGGTATTGCCACCCTTACTTCGGCTCTGCAGCTGGCGGCGGCACTGCCCTCAGAACTGGATGGCCAGAGAGTGGCGACTGCTAGGCAGGTGTCCAGCTCTGAAGACAGCATAACCTTCAGCAGCAGCGCAGAAGTAAGGATGGCATGGTATGATGTTACTACCCTTGCTTCTGCGTGGCTGCCTTCAGAGCTGGGCCCTTGGCCAGCAGCTGCCACTCTCCGGCTAGCCAGATCTGAAGGCAGCAGCACAGAAGTAAGGGTGGCATGGTATGGTATTGCCACCCTTACTTCTGCACTGTTGCTGGCAGTGCTGCCTTCAGAGCTGGGCGCCTGGCCAGAAGCCGCTGCTCTCCAGCCACCCAGCTCTGAAGGTAGTCCAGAAGTAACAGTAGCAGTTCCATGACCCCCTACAAAAACCTTACAAACTCCCCTCTCCTCCCCTTTCCCCCCCACAATCCCCTTTTGACTTGGGACAACCAGTTTCAAAAATGCTGGTCTTCCCTGTGAAATCTGTATGGTATAGGGTAAAAGTACATAAAAGACCAGCTTTTGTGGGGAGACCAGATTTCATGGTCCGTGATGCATTTTTCACAGCCGTGAATTTGCTAAGGCCCTACATATGACAGTCTTTTACAAATTTTCTTTGTCTTGACTTTTATATATTGTGCTAAAATCACTGATTAAATTCCTCCCTTCACTTGTTTAGCATACAACATACACCTCAGACCCTGAACTATTTAGGCACAGTGGAGCAAAGAATAAATCAATCATGAATGGTATGGAGAAAGAGAATAGGGAAGTGTTATTTATCCCTTCACATAACACAAGAACTAGGTGGGTCATTAAATTCATTAGGTAGCAGGTTTAAAACAAACAAAAGGAAATACTTCACACGACGCACAATCAACCTGTGGAATTCATTGCCAGAGGATATTGTAAAGGCCAAAAATATAACTGGGTTCAAAAAAGAATTAGAGAAGTTCATGGAGGATAGGTCCATCAATGGTATTAGCAAAGATGATCGGGGACACAACTCCATGCTTTGGGTGTCCGTAAACCTCCAACTGCCTGAAGCTGCGACTGGAGGACAGTGGATGGATCACAAAATTGATCATTCTATTGATTCCTTCTGAAGCATCTGGCCACTGTGAGAAGACAGGATGCTGAGCAATGTGGACCATTGGTCTGACCCAGTATGGCCGTTTTTATGTTCTTGTAGTATCTGTGTTAACTTTGAATTATCTGCATTTTGTTACTGTGTGTGTGTGTGTGTGTATAGAGAGAGAGAGAGCTTAACATTATATAAGACACCTTGTTTCTGAATTTGGAAAACAGTAGAGTTTTGCAACATTTTATTTTTTACCACCTCAAATTACAAACTTTCCTATGTCTTGTATAGCTAGTAATGACAAATGGCTTTGTCCACCAGCTACCTAATGCTACTGTTTTTTAGACTCCAGTCCTGCAAAGACATAAGCATGCACTTAACTTTGCATACTGTGATTAGTCTTATTGAAGTCAATGACAATATTTCGAGTGCATAAAGGTAAGTACAGGATCAGGGCCTATGAATACAGTGGCTTGACACATTGCGTGAACGAAGCAAAATTAGTTTCAATAACTGTACCCACTCTAAGGATTCTGTCTGGAAAAGCACGTAGTACATCAATTTCTACTGACAGCATCAACTAACACAGCATGAAAATCATGAAGGAGTACAGTAGCAAAAGCATTAAGCAGTTATTACGAAAGAGAGAGATGTTCCAAACTAGCAACTAAAAGCAACTTTTATTGTGCCATTATTTATAAAATGGATAGGTCACCAAAAAGTTACATTTTTTTTAAAACAGATTGTGCACAAAGTTACATATGTTGCACTTAGCTTCTAATGACAGGTTTCAGAGCAACAGCCGTGTTAGTCTGTATTTGCAAAAAGAAAAGGAGGACTTGTGGCACCTTAGAGACTAACCAATTTATTTGAGCATAAGCTTTCGTGAGCTACAGCTCACTTCATCGGATGCATACTGTGGAAAATACAGAAGATGTTAGGTTTTCTTTTGTTTTCTAACATCTTCTGTATTTTCCACAGTATGCATCCGATGAAGTGAGCTGTAGCTCACGAAAGCTTATGCTCAAATAAATTGGTTAGTCTCTAAGGTGCCACAAGTACTCCTTTCGTTTTAGCTTCTAATGTAAAAAATAAATACATATGGTGATTAGTGTTCTAAATATTTAATAACTGTCCCAATTATCAGATGCTGGCATTTAAAAAAAGTATGCAATCTTTTTTATCTGTCTAGCCATAAAAATTAATCAGTATTACCTCAAAATTGTTCCATCTCCAGCAAGCTTAAAAAAGTTTCCATCTTCCAGATCCAATGCCAACCCTTTACAGCTAAAATTCATTTTATTTAAAAAGACGAAACAAGAAAAGTAGTAATTAGATAAGAAATTATACCTGAGAGATAATGAAGCACATATCAGACTGTCCAAATGATATACAGTTATAACAAGTATGCAACTTGGCCACACAAAGAGAGGCCTTGATCTTCCAGACACTTCCATATGTGAATAACTTTATATATGTAAGTAAACAATGAGGTGAAATCCTAGCCACACTGAAATCAATAGCAAAACTCCCACTGACTTCACTGGGGCCAGGATTCCTATGAGTTCAATGAGATTATTACTCACATGAACCAACTTATTATAAGTGTTTGGAGGATGAGGGCCTACATTTCTACAGGCAGGCTGTGTGCATTTTAGCCAGCTTTTAATATTAAGGAAAAACAACATCTAATTGATTAATATTCGGTAGTAACTTGAGCTCACTACTAGCTAAACTGGACAAATGAAGTCCTATCAACCCAAACATTACTGTTGTTTTACTGTAGTTCAACATAAAGGTGAAACTACAGTGCAACCTCTTTTATCTGAAACGTTTCAGACACATTTGGATAGAGGTTCACATAATTAGGACAAGAAACTGAGTAACGATTTACATTGTTCAAAGAAGCAAGGAATGGAAAACACCACCCATGATTCCAGTGAGAAGGGACAGTTAACTGCAGTCACACAGCATGAACCTTGGAATTTTTAGAGCTTAGCAAACAAAATGGGCTCATATTATTTTTTTTTAAACCAAACATAGTCACATTTTCAACTTTATTATCAGATACCCAGAGTGATGATAGAATGATCCAGGTGAGGGAGGCAATGAGTTCAGAGCCTTGAATATGTAATGTATGTTAGCACTATGCGTAGGTAACACACGCAAACACACACGACCCAGTCCTGATGGCTATACATGAGGTCAACCCCTGTGTCTACAAAAAACTCCATTGACCTCAGTGGGGCTCCATGAAGGTTCAGGGGTCAGCCAGCACAGATCAGATTACATAACAGAGACCTAGGCATATGGTTCTACCAGATATCTTTATGCTTCAGATGACCTGTAAGGCATGAGAAGTACCAGTCTGGTATTAATATAATTTCAACATATACTCTTCAAGCAGTGTATAGGGAGCCCAACACACCCAGCCCTCTCTTATCCACATTGTTGGTATATTCATACTGCTATGTTTCAGTATATGAAAGTAACTTGGGACTTGCTTTTATCTAAAAAGTTGCCAAACTGTCAAATTGAGACCTCTACTCAACTTCTGGGAAAAAAAACCTACTCCAGATATAGATTCTCACTCCAAATGCTAATATTGTAGATGAATAAACCAAACAGAATTTTAGCTGGAATAGGATTATATTTTTAAAAATCACATTGAAAACACTATCAAGGCTTTTAGGCCTCAAATGAAAACTACTGTATTAGCTATTGTTTTGATTCACGAACATGTGCATCCGTATTACACTTCATCTATCTTTGGAACTGGAATGGGTTTTAAATGGCAAATCTAGTGCCCAGAGACCAATGTTTTTGTAGAAGTCAATATCTTGCCTGTTCACTAATGAAAAATATTAGAGTGGAAGGAATTTATGACATGCACATGTGATGACATTGACAAAACAACTCATGTGCAGGGTTCTAGGACGCCAATTTACTTGCTGCAAGACTCTGAGAAAGTCACTTAACCTCTGTGCAGTTCAGTTCCCCCCGCCCACCATAAAATGAGGATAATGATATTTACCAACCTTTGTAAAATACTTTGGGATCTATGAATGCAAATCTATATGTAAGGGCTAGGGCAGTGGTTCCCAAACTTGTTCCGCCGCTTGTGCAGGGAAAGCCCCTGGTGTGCTGAGCCGGTTTGTTTACCTGCTCCGTCCGCAGGTTCAGCCGATCGCGGCTCCCAGTGGCCAATGGGAGCTGCTGGAAGTGGCGGCCAGCACATCCCTCGGCCCGCGCCGCTTCCAGCAGCTCCCATTGGCCTGGAGCAGCGACCTGCGGCCACCGGGAGCCGCTATCGGCCGAACCTGCTGACGCAGCAGGTAAACAAACCGTCCCGTCCCACCAGGGGCTTCCCCTGCACAATCGGCAGAACAAGTTTGGGAACCACTGGGCTAGATATTTTTTAGAGTTGGTTGAAGAATCTCAACATTTTCAAGAGTAGAGAATTCTAATTAAAAAAAAAATTTTTTGACTATTTCTTTTTTGAAAGCCTGAAATTAAGCAAATTTCAACCAGCGCTACTATTTATTATTTTGGAAGGCTGTTGTTTCAATATAATTTGACTTTTTAAACTATGATTTAGGAATAAGACAAGTTATTTTCTCAGCCCCATAAAAACTGAGGCCTCAAGGAAGTAAGACATTTTTAAAAATACTTACCAAAAGTCCCAGCTTTCTGGAGTTACAGTCAGCAATTCTTTATCATAACCCTTCTCGGTTACCAGGTAGCGGGCAAAACTATCATATATAAGCTACAAATGAGAAAAATAATGAGAGAAAAAAAACGTTATTATATCAAGTAAGAGAAACTGTCCCTACCCACACAAGTATCTCAATAAGTAAAATGGGCAGTTAACATAAGAAGAGCACAACTTATCCCTGTACACATTGAGTGTTAATTTTAATTAATTTCTAAATCATTGTGATTATGAGTCACAGCAACATTTAAAATACTGTTCATTATTATTTCTGCATTTCGGTGACATTTCCAGAAATAAGTAAATAAGCTTTATATCAAGCTCTACTAAGTACAAGAGATTAAATTCTAACCATAGATCTTCCACAGCAAGTATTTACAGTTTTAGTCTGGCAAAAGTATATTAAAGTCAAAACACTGCAGAGTTGAATCTCTGTAAAGAACAGTTAGTGAAAGCTGTATGCTACATCTGTGTTATATGTAACATGAAAAAAAACTGTCAACTAGTCATTCCCTAGAGCCAGAAAAGATTTAGTTCAGACTAATCTTGTTGAGAGTGGAAGTAGGGCTGTTGAAAAGTTGCCATCTAAACTGTTCTTCGAAAGACATTGGGTTTTCAATTAAATTAATTTTTTCGCAAAAAGTGTCTTTGCTCCATGGAAAACTTTGATATTTCATTGCAAATTTCAGGTCCAAAATCCAAAAATGGCTATTCATCATGGGAGCATAATGAACTGTACCTATCATAGCTGACATACCAGTAACAGCCAGAGTCATCACAAATATTAATTACTGAAAATTATCCTGCAACATTTTGTGGATGAAATAGGAACCAATGTAGACATTATAGATGGAAGGAAGGAAGAAAAGAAAAGGGGACAGGGCGTATGCAAGCTTTGCAACACATCTAGAGTGTAAACTTGCAACCACCTGGTATTTAGTGAAGAAACAAGAATTGGTGAAAAACATGGGGAAAGCATCCAGGATACCTGGGTGGGCATATATTAGAAGCCAAGAGGTGACCATCCTACACTAATGACAGGTTTCAGAGTAGTAGCCGTGTTAGTCTGTATTGGCAAAAAGAAAAGGAGTACTTGCGGCACCTTAAATAATTTGTTAGTCTTGTTAGTCTATAAGGTGCCACAAGTACTCCTTTTCTTTTTGCATCCTACACTAGGAGAATGTTTATACTGCAAACTGAAGTCGAACTATGTTAGGTCGACTTACAGCCATCACAGTAATTATTGCAGTGGCTCATGTCCACACTAGCCTTCTGTCAGTGCTGTGCATCCTCATAAGGAACACTTCCACTGATTTAAGGGGGACAGTGTAAGGTCTGAGAGTCTGAGCTCTCAGCTCCATGCACAGCTCCCTGCCAGAAGCCAGGCTGCCCCCCTGGTTCTTGGTTCCATGCCAGAGCATGGAAGACACCTGGGCTCCTTGCGGGGAGTAAAGAGCCCAGATGTAGGGAGTCTGGGCAGCAGTCCTGCTCCAAGTGGGAAGCCAGGACCACAGTGGCAGCCTGGCTCTGAGCTAGGGGCCCAAGCAGGAGCCTGGCTGGGAGCGGGGATCTGAAAGCCAGGGGGCAGCAGGGCTGTAGCTGAAGCCTCCACATGCCCTGACATGACAACCTGATCTGTGACCGGCTTTCCTGTCAATTTCCTGGCTCTAGCATGGAGCCAGGAAATTGACAAGAATGACAGCCAACAGGTGATATAAGTAACCTGCAATGTCTGTTTCGACACTGCATCAGCCTATCTACACTCACACAAGCCCTACGCCTCTCATGGAGGTGGAATTATTATGTCAGCGTAATAGGGCACTTACATCAATGGGAGCAAAGCTGTAGTGTGTACACTGACATTATTAGATTGACATAAGCTGCCCTACATCAACCTAACTCTGTAGTGTAGGCCAGGCCTAAATTTTACAATGAGTGTTTCCAGCACATATAATTCACCCTCAAAAAAATTGCGTTAATTGAGGCAATGTGAAACAGAGATGAAAATAAATAATTCCTTCCACCTACCCCTTCCAGTAAGCAAGCACAACGGATTCTGAAGCTAAAAATCAGAAAGATGCCTCATGCTCATATGCTAAGCGCCTAAGAATTCACCAGTATATAAGCAGATAAGTCATCAAAAAATATGAAAGGTCTGAATTTCAAAGATACTAAGCTCTTAAACTCTCACTTCCTTTAGTAGGAGCAGACACTGCATTCAACACCTATAAAAATCAGGCCCTCAGAGCGTTATAGCTATAAGGGCAAAAAAAAAGCCAACCTTTGTCTGAGGGCTTGTCTACACTTGAACTGCTGCAGCTTTAGCACTTCAAAGTAGACACTACTTACACTGATGGGAGGTTTCAGAGTAGCAGCCATGCTAGTCTGTATTCGCAAAAAGAAAAGGAGGACTTGGGGCACCTTAGAGACTAACCAAGTCTCTAAGGTGCCCCAAGTACTCCTTTTCTACTGAGGGAGGGGTTCTCCTGTTCTGTAGTTAATCCATCTTCAATAGAGATGGTAAGAATTCTTCTGTCACCCTAGCACTGTCTACACCAGGGGTTAAGTTGAAATAACTACATTGCTTGGGGTGTGGATTTTTCACTCCCCTGAACAACACAGCCAGGTCAACCTAACTTTTGAATGTAGACCAGGTTTCCATTCACTTTGCTTGGGTAAAAATTTCCACTGAATTAGAACAGGGCAGGGCCCAAAATTGGTTGTTTTGTTTTAAGCTTCCAAGATGATATAAATAATAGCACACCGACATATAGCAAATTTAATCTAAACAAAAAGAAAAGGAGTACTTTTGGCACCTTAGAGTCTAACAAATTTATTTGAGCATAAGCTTTCGTTCAAATAAATTTGTTAGACTCTAAGGTGCCACAAGTCCTCCTTTTCTTTTTGCAGATACAGACTAACAGGGCTGCTACTCTTAATCTAAACAAGATTGCAAAGTACATCCCGCCTATGGATGGGTCACTATTATGCTTTCAGAACCTATCAGGGATAAAATGCCCCCTGCTTCCTTCAAGTACTGGTAAATCATGGTATAATTTTGCCTAGCTGGTCACAATTTAAAATGCAGGGCTATTTAACAGCGGATGTCTACGGCCTCCTGAACCCCCTGCACGAAAGTAGCTCTGGACTGGAGCCACCTCTGGGCTGAAGGTGGCAGCTCAGAGTCCTACACAAGAATGAATGGGCAGGGCCTCGCTTCTCTCCCCCGGGCGTTGCTCAGAGGCGGGAGGAGGAGTGGGAGACGTAGTAGCAACCCCCGCCTCTTTGAACGCGCCGCTGCAGCGGACGCGGGGCTGGGCTCCCGGGGGAAGCCAAACCCACCAGCTCCCGCTTGCGCGGGCAGCAGGCGGCCGCGGCAGCACAGCGAGGGACGTGGTAACACCCCGCTGAGGAAGTCAGAGCCCCGCCACGAACCCGGAGCGCTCCTGAGAGCCGGGCCACGGCTCTGCCTAGCGCTGCAGTGCCCGGGTTGGCCTGGCAGAGTCGCCAGGGCTTCCCCGGGCGCGGGGCTTGCAGCCGCCAGACCAGCGACGTCTGGCAGGCGAGGAAGCCGCTGGGCTGGAGCCCGGCCCCCGCCACTCACCCGGGCGCTCTCGGGGAGGTTGTAGCGACACAGCGTGTGGTCCAGATCGAAGCCGAGCGCGTCACACTCGGCCAGGGAGAAGGGCCGGGTCATGGCTGCGCAGGCGGCGGCGGCGGCTCCGGGCGCTGGCGGGGGGAAAGGAAAGTGGCGCTGCGGCGGCCGCTTCCTGCGGCAGCTGCTCTCACTCGCTGCTGCCGCCAGGCCGCCCCAGGGCTGGCTGTGCCTTTCCCCGCCCCTTCGTCTTCTCTGTGGCGCTCACCTGCCCCTGGCCCTGACCGCCGGCCGCTCAGACGGGTAAGCTCAGAAGACTGGCCGTACTGGGTCAGGCCAAAGGTCCATCCAGCCCAGTATCCCCTCTTCTGACAGTGGCCAGTGCCAGGTGCCCCAGAGGGAGGGAACCTAACAGGTAATGATGATAATAATAATTTCTTCTGCAGTTTCCACGGTATGCATCCGATGAAGTGAGCTGTAGCTCAGGAAAGCTCATGCTCAAATAAATTGGTTAGTCTCTAAGGTGCCACAAGTACTCCTTTTCTTTTTGCGAATACAGACTAAGACGGCTGTTACTCTGAAACCTGTCAAAATGATCAAGTGATCTCTCTCCTGCCGTCCATCTCCGCCCTCTGACAAACAGAGGCTAGGGACACCATTCCTTACCCATCCTGGTTAATAGCCATTAATGGACTTAACCTCCATAAATTTATCTAGTTCTCTTTAAAACCCTGTTATAGTCCTAGCCTCCACAACCTCCGCAGGCAAGGAGTTCCACAGGTTGACTGTGCGCTGAGTGAAGAACTTCCTTTTATTTGTTTTTAAATCTGCTGCCCATTAATTTCATTTGGTGGCCCCTAGTTCTTATGGGAACAAGTAAATAACTTTTCCTTATTTACTTCCTCCTCACTACTCATGATGTTCTATACCTCTATCATATTCTCCCTTAGTCTCCTCTTTTCCAAGCTGAGAAGTCCTAGCCTCTTTGATCTCTCCTCATATGGGACCCGTTCCAAACACTTAATAATTTTAGTAGCTCTTTTTGAAGCTTTTCTAATGCCAGTATATCTCTTTTCAGATGAGGAGACCACATCTATATGCAGTATTCAAGATGGGGGGCGTACCATGAATTTATATAAGGGCAATAAGATATTCTCAGACTTATTCTCTATCCCTTTTTAAATGATTCCTAACATCCCGTTTGCTTTTTTGACTGCCGCAGCACACTGCGTTGACGTCTTCAGAGAACTATCCACAATGACTCCAAGCTCTTTCTCCTGATTAGTTGTAGCTAAATTAGCCCCCATCATATTGTATGTATAGTTGGGGTTATTTTTTCCAGTGTGTATATCTTTACATTTATCCATATTAAATTTCATTTGCCATTTTGTTGTCCAATCACTTAGTTTTGTGAGATCTTTTTGAAGTTCTTCACAGTCTTGGTGGTGTTTATGCTCATTTCTGTTTACCTCACTAGGATTTGACTTCCACTTTTTAAAAGATGCCTTTTTATCTCTCACTGCTTCTTTTACATGGTTGTTAAGCCACGCAGCTTGAGGGGGCGATGGCTGATGGGGGCTGTTAGGAAGGGGTGTAAGGGTCCAGGCCCTAGTGAGACACTAGAGACTGCTTACCATAAGGTAAGGAATGCTGTTGGGCCGGCCCTTCCTCCCCCTGCACTGTGCAGGAGAGTTTACTCCTCTCTGCCAACACTGGTGATGGTCCCAGTGCCCCCAGGAATTCGGAGACACTCCTCACCCCAAACTGTGCAGATCCCGAACAAAGACTGACTATGATTCTTGTTGCTAACGCCTGTTATTTTATCATGAGTCTTGTAATATTCTGTGTTTTTTCTTAAACCCCCAGCTGCTGGAGTTATGGGATTAGATGACACTCTCGGCTGTCATTTTTTTTTTAAAGCAAGCTTCTAGCTCTGACTGTTGCAAATGCTTGAAAAGTGTCATCTAAATGCAACCTCAAACACTCAGAAACCAGAAAGCAAATAAAATGAGCCCAAGCTTTATTAATTTTTTTAAACCTTGTGTTTTTTAAATCAGGATTAAACTATTTCCTCAGGACAGATCTTGCAATTTGAATTAAGCTACATGTATTGAACAGATACATCTTCATTTCATGAATGCTCATTCACGGCGAAGTTATATTTCACCAAAACTTCAAATGCACTTTCCCCTAGGAACACAAGACAAAAACGCAAAGGTAGAGGATGGTGAAATACGCCACTGAGACTTGATCAGCAGGACACTGAATGTATATAGTAGGGGTGACCAAACTGCATCTTGCAAGCTGCATGCAGCTCTTTTACAGTTAAAATGTGGCTTGCAGAGCCCACCACTCCCTTTCCCCCCACTCTCCATCTATAAGACTTGAGGGGGGGGCTCAGGGCTCTCAAGCCCCATCAGGTGCCTCCCGCTGAGCTGAAGCCCCAAGCCCTGGCAGGTGTGTCTGACTCTTGAACTTCTGAAGATTATCATATGTGGCTCTAAGGGTTAATAAATTTGGCCACCCCTGAGGGCTGACAAGCAACTGATACCAGAACAGTCCCTCAAAACACCGCACCACCCAAACAGCCAAGTGCCACTCATCACGAGAAAGACTATCATAAGAAAGACTCACATGCTCCAACATCATACTTCCTGGAGGGTATATACAAGAACTTTATACAATAACGAAGCATGGAAGATCAATCTTCCTAAAACCAAAGGAAAGTACCTTAGTTGCCAAGCAAGATAAATGTTAGCTTTAAAAAAAAAAATTGGGTGTTAAATTATATATAGGATGGATTAGCCATTTAGGGGGGCAGGTGGGAGGTCTCCCCCCCCCCCCCGAGTTTCATACAGGAGGTGTGCAAGTTCCCAAGTGGAGCTCTTAACTACAGCACAGCATTAGGTCTTGTCTACACTGGTACTTTACAGCACTGCAACTGTCTCAGAGATGTGAAAAAACACCCTCCTGAGTGCTGCAAGTTTCAGCACTGTAAAGTGGCAGTGTAGACAGTGCCCCAACGCAGCGCTGGTAGCTACACCCCACGTGGAGGTGGGTTTTTTAGAGCTCTCCCAGTGGGGGGGGAACCTTTTGAAGTGATAATCAAGGTGGGCCATTTCCAGCAGTTAACAAGAACGTCTGAGGAACAGTGGGGGGGAGGGTGGCAATAAACATGGGGAAATAGTTTTACTTTGTGTAATGACCCACCCACTCCCAGTCTCTATTCAACCCTAAGTTAATTGTATCCACTTTGCAAATTAATTCCAATTCAGCAGTCTCTCGTTGGAGTCTGTTTTTGAAGTCTTTTTGTTGTAATATTGCGATCTTTAGGTCTGTAATCGAGTGACCAGAGAGATTGAAGTGTTCTCCGACTGGTTTATGAATGTTATAATTCTTAACATCTGATTTGTGTCCACTTATTCTTTTTTGTAGAGACTGTCCAGTTTGACCAATGTACATGGCAGAGGGGCATTGCTGGCACATGATGGCATATATCACGTTGGTAGATGTGCAGGTGAACGAGCCTCTGATAGTGTGGCTGATGTGATTAAGCCCTATGATGGTGTCCCCTGAATAGATATGTGGACACAGTTGGCAAAGGGCTTTGTTGCAAGGATAGGTTCCTGGGTTAGTGGTTCTGTTGACTGGTGTGTGGTTGCTGGTGAGTATTTGCTTCAGGTTGTGGGGCTGTCTGTAAGCAAGGACTGGCCTGTCTCCCAAGATTTGTGAGAGTGATGGGTCGTCCTTCAGGATAGGTTGTAGATCCTTGATGATGCGTTGGAGAGGTTTTAGTTGGGGGCTGAAGGTGATGGCTAGTGGCGTTCTGTTATTTTCTTTGTTGGGCCTGTCCTGTAGTAGGTGACTTCTGAGTACTCTTCTGGCTCTGTCAATTTGTTTCTTCACTTCAGCAGGTGGGTATTGTAGTTGTAAGAATGCTTGATAGAGATCTTGTAGGTGTTTGTCTCTGTCTGAGAGGTTAGAGCAAATGCGGTTGTATCGTAGAGCTTGGCTGTAGACGATGGATCGCGTGGTGTGGTCTGGGTGAAAGTTGGAGGCATGTAGGTAAGAATAGCAGTCAGTAGGTTTCCGGTATAGCGTGGTGTTTATGTGACCATCGCTTATTAGCACCGTTGTGTCCAGGAAGTGGATCTCTTGTGTGGACTGATCCAGGCTGAGGTTGACAGTGGGATGGAAATTGTTGAAATCATGGTGGAATTCCTCAAGGGCTTCTTTTCCATGGATCCAGATGATGAAGATGTCATCAATGTAGTGCAAGTAGAATAGGTGCATTAGGGGACGAGAGCTGAGGAAGCGTTGTGGGGGTGCTATGGCAGGCTTCCTGCCTGTCCTGGCACCACAGACCGCGCTGTGCCCTGGAGCAGCCAGCAGCAGGTCCGGCTCCTAGGTAGAGGTACGCAAGAGGCTCCGCACGCCTCTTGGGCACCACTTCGCCCCCCCCAGCTCCCATTGGCCGGTTCCTGGCCAATGGGAGTGCAGAGCCGGTGCTCAGGGTGGGGGCAGCACCAGGAGCCCTGTGGCCCCCTCAGCTAGGGGCTCAGCATGGTGTCAGAACAGGAAAGAATTAGACTGCCTTAGCTGGGCAGCACTGCCAATGGGACTTTTAAGGGCCCAGTCAGTGGTGCTGACCAGAGCTGCCGTGACCCAGTACTGAGTCACGACCCACAGTTTGAAAACCACTGGTTTAGAGTGAACACAGGGGACTCAGAAAAAATACAGCCAACCCCTCTGAGCCAAGGTTATATTCAGAAAAGGGGGAGATTCAGAAAAGGGGCATAAGTGAAAAGAAGGGCCCAAAACCAGGGGAAGGGATAGCAGTGGCCCCATTATCGTAGTATTTGAGTGCCTCACAAGGTCTAACCTGTTTCTCCTCACAGCCCCTCAGTGAGATAGAGCAGGGCTGTTATCCCCATTGTACAGATGGGGCACTGAGGGGGACACAGGCTAAAGGCCAGATTTTCAAAGGTATTTAGGCACCTAGTGGAATTTTCAAGTGCCTACAAGTTTAGGTGCTTTGTAAACCCCACTAGATGCCTAGGTGCCTAAAAGGTTTTGAAACTCAGTCGTTAAAGCACTGGCCTGAAGTCATATAGGAAGTCCATGGGGGGGAGTAGAACCCAGGGCCAGCTCCCTATCCAGCAGACCAGCCTGCTGCATGCTGCAAAAAAAGGAAGCACTGATAGAGGGGCGTAAAAGAAAGGCAGCCAGTTCTCTAAGACTCCAACATAGTCTCAGGAGATTGGGACGGATGTCATGGTTGACAGCATGAAAAACAGCACAAAGGTTATGAAGGATGGAGAAGGAGAATCAGATGAGAGGAGATTACTTAACTCCCAAGGGGTGGCTGGTTCTGCCCCATGCTGGGTTTTCGAGCTGCTGTGCAATTTTACAT